GGCATGGGATATGGGCTGCTGCGGCGCCGAGTACTGCCACGGCGACGGGCACGACTGCAGGTGTCGCGGTCCTCGTTCGCACGGACGTGAGGATCACCGCCCCTATCTTGGCAGAGAGGGAGGTTGTCACTGGAAGGTGTCTTTTTGCGCACATTCACTGGGGTGTGCCTGGAGGTTTCACAGCTGGCAGCATCTACCTCGACACGAAGGATGGCATGGGCCCAGTCAACACGGCCTACCTGTGGGAGACGGTCAAGGCTCTCGCGAGGCTCAACAGCGAGGGGGTGGACTGGCTCATTGGTGGGGATTGGAATAACCAGCCCGCTGGGCTTTTCTCGTCCAGCTGGGCTACGGCAGCTTCGGCAATACCCTTCTGCCCAAAGGTGCCTACGTGCAGGCAGGCCAATCCTGGGACTGTACTTGATTATTTTTTGGTTTCAGCAAACCTGGCAGCGCGGGTCGACTCCCACGTTCGGGTTGATGAAGAGGCGACGTTATACCCTCATTGTCCAGTGCACCTGCAAGTCCTTGGACAGGACTACCCGCTATGGAGGCTCGCGCCGAATTTGCCTAAGGAACTACCACTACAGGCCCCTACTGGATGTTCGAGGTTCCCTTACTACTGGGAGGCGACCAGCGTCGAGGAGGCCGATGACGCGGAAGGGCTTGCTGCGTGCATGGACGACTTGATGATTGGGGTCGAAAGGGAGCTCACCAGCCGCTACGACCATGTGGGGCCTGCCGCGCTGCGCTACTCAGGCCGAGCGGGGGCGACCTCCTTCACGTGGCGGAAGGTTTCCTGGCAGCCACCCCTCAAGCGCACCTACAAGCGCTCGCAGGCCTTGGCCTGGAAAGTGGTGCTTCGATGGTTTATGCACATTCAGAAGGAGCGCCACAGACTTCGCACGCTGGTCACCAGGCTTCAGATGGCCCATGTTCTTTGTGATACTGATCCGCCCCAGTGTGCAGTCCTGCTCCAGGCTTTCAGTGAAGTTGGTGGGTATCTTCGTAATATCATGCGCAGCCAAGTTGTGCTCCACCAGATGCCTGAGAATGTGCAGGCCTTCCTGAAATCTGGGCTGCAGGTCTTGGTTGCTCCTGGCTTCGAGGACCTCCTGCGCCCGGTCGGGGATGAGGCCACTCGGCTGCGCAAGGAGGACCAGCGGGAATCCTACCGAGCTTGGATGCAGTTCCAGCGTAAGGCTTTTCAGGCAGGGGCCTCTATCGCTCACCGCGTCACCAAGGCGCGGCCGCTGGAGCAGGTTGTTGCATTTCAACGACGCCCCGCAGATGCTCAGCCGCAGGCTCTGGCGAATCGGGACATGGGGACTTGGGTTGATGTATGGACCCATCATGGATGCCTACCAGTCCAGCCTCCTCCTGAGGCCTCAGAGTGGCCATGTCTTCCGAAGCTTGACGCCGACACCCTGAGGAAGGTGATACTGACTTTCCCTAGAAAGAACTCGACGGGGCCCTGTGCATTACACCCGCGCTTGCTGTGGCACCTGTCAGATGAGTCGCTCGAGATGCTGGGCAGTTTCTTCGCAAGGTGCGAGCAGCTGCTCGCGTGGCCTGCAGATCGGCTCTGGTCGATGATGTGTCGTATTCCCAAGGCTGACGAAGGACGCCGCCTGATTGCGGTGGTCCACACTTTCCAGCGCAATTGGGGCAGGGCCCGACGTGGCATATCCCGGCAGTGGGAGCAGCAGCATCGCACGGACAATGTGTGGGGCAACAGGTCCCGCTACACTTCGTCGGACAGCGCGTTTAGCCACAACTTGGACTCGTAGGTGGCTGTGCTGAGGGGCCAGTTCAGTGCGACGGTCCTACTAGATCTCACGAAGGCGTTCGACATGGTGAGGCCGTCGCAGCTGTTCCGCGAGGGCTGCTTGCTTGGCTATCCACCGAGGATGCTGTGCATGTTGCTCAAGATGTACGCCCAGCCGAGGAGCCTCAAAGGGTACGGCACTTTCTCCGACATGGTGCAGGTGAACCAAGGCATTCTTGCTGGATGCACGCATGCCGTCTGTATGCTGGCATGTCTCACGTTACGGGCCATCCTACGATTGCGTGACAACTACGCTGGTGTTGTGCCACGGGCTCTTGTTGATGATGTTTCGGTCCAGTACGTTGGGCCTGACCCGAAGGGCATACTTGCGCTTGATTTGGCGGTGCGAATATTTCAGGAGGACTCTAGAGTGCTTGGTTCTTGCTTTAATGACAAGAAGTCGGGGCTGGTTGCCGCGACGGTGGCTTCTCGTCAGATCTTGAGAGGCTCTAAGTTTGCACATCGGCCGTGGATGCGTAACCTTGGCCACGAGACTTTCGGTATTCGCCCTATTCGCTTGCAAGAAAAGGCCCGCTTTCGTGATCTCCAGAAGCGACGTCATCGGCTCCACCTTTTTCGCCAAGTGGCTGGTCGTAAGAACTCAGTGATCTGGCGGGCAGGAGCACAACCAGCGGTGGCTCATGCTGCTGGCGTGTCGGGCATGACTGACTCAGCTCTTGCCACGGCCAGGTCAGTTGCTGCTACCATGGTTGGGGCACCGCCGAGAGCGCACAAGACGGCTTATCTGTACTGTCAGTGGCAGGTGCGCTACGACCCGATTTTTGATGCTACGACGGCGCTGTTGTGTCGGCTGCATTGCTTTATCTGGGATGCTCGGGTGCCCCTCAGTGCGCTACGACATGCATGGTTGAGTTTGGCAGATCGTGTTAACAACAAAGGGCTGACCTGGGCGGTGGTGCGCGGCCCACTGAGTGCAGCATGGCTCACGCTTAACAGAATTGGCTGGACATTTCTTGGACCTCATCACTGGCGTAGCGACCAAGGCGAGGATTTTGATCTCCTGCGAGTGGCACCAGCCGACATGAAGGTATATCTGGAGGATTCGATCAAGCGGTGGCAGGTGCAGCGGCTGGTCTATCACTTGCCTGTGCAGGAGGCGTCTCACGATGTCTGGGAACGAGCTCTTCGACTTGGGCTCCGTGACTTGAGGCAGGCGCCGCTTGGAGCGCTGAGGGCACTGTGGGCTGATCGGTACCCCACTGCTGCCCGCCTTGCTGCATGGGGAAAAGATGTGAAAGTGCACTGTGCAGCCTGTCAGTCAGATGACGGATCCTTCGGGCATGTTTGGCACGGATGTCCCAGCTTGTTGCAGCCCGATGAGAGCGATGAGGCTTCTGGTGTTGAGGTTTTGTGTGAGAGACACGCGTCTCATCGGGATGCGCTGCGGGCTCTTGGACACCGCCCCCCGCTCGATCCTGAGTTTGACAGACTCTATTTTAGTTACGGTTTTCCGAGGCTCTCGATCCAGCTTCCATCCCCGCCTGAAACTTCGGTGGTTTGGGAGTGGGGTGACGTCGGGGGTGAGTGGGGGCCTGTTACTTTCGGGGATGGAAGCGCACAGCACCCCGCCGTGCCTGAAGTCAGGCGAGCGGGGTGGGCCATAGTTCAGCTCAACGATGCGCTCCTCCCTGTCCGCGCGGTGTTTGGATCCCTGGAGGGTGCCGTCCAGACCGTGGGCAAAGCGGAGAGAACTGCGCTCCTGCACGCCATGAGGCGTAATCCCAGCATGGAGGTTTTTGTTTCGGATTTGCTTTCTCTGGTCCAGGAAGGCTTGTCTTGGGACCCTGAATTGGCGTGCGGAATGAGTAGATACGCTGCCATCTGGAGGAGTGTCTTTGAGCTGGCGCAGCGTAGGCCTGTCCAGGACCCTCCCCCTCACTTCGTGTGGACCCCCGCTCACCTCTCTCTCGAGGAAGTCCTGGAGCGAGAACTGGACCCGATAACCTGGATCGGGAATGCGTGGGCCGACCTGTTTGCCAAGCTAGCTTCGACTAGGGTCATGATAGCTAGGACGACGGCAGAGGCTGTCGCAGGCGAACTCAAGTTTCATCGTGCTACCATTGAGTATATTTCCTGGGCTGCGGCCAGGCTTGCCCGACTCAGACGGTGGACTTCTCTGCCCCCGCCGTCGAGTGTTTGTCGACCCCAGCCTGCGCCGCAGCTCAGCTTGCATGGTCATTCCTTTTTCCTCGACCCTGACTCAGGAGAGGTGAGATGCATCTCATGTTTCGTCGGGGCATGGACCTGCAGCACCTTGGCGCATCTGTGTAACGGCCCCTCCAAGTTTTGCCGACCCTCGGCCCCTTCAGCCCTCAAGGGGCAGGAGTGGTTGCGGGTGCGAAATCTAGCGCGGCCTGTGAAGGCCGCTGCTGTTGTCGAAGCGGACCAGGCCCTGGTGGCTGAGGGTCTGCTGCCGCCCCTTCCTCCCCCTGGAAACCCCACGGGAAACGAGAGAGAGGCGGCCATCTGTGATTTTGAGTCGAGAGGTCACACGATCGAGAAGTATGATCGCGTGATGATTTGTTCCACCTGTGCTGGCTTTGTGTTGCTTCCGCATGGTGTCCCTCGTGCCCTGATGGCCAAGTGTCAGGGCGCTTCCAAGGTTCCATCAACCAGGGACAAACAGTTGCGGAAGCTCTCCAAGGCCTCCAGAGGCCTGCACCCGTCTACGGGCGAGGTCCTCTTCTGTGCCCAGGGCCCTGTCCCCTCCTCGCCTATGTCCTCCCCTCAGGCTTCTTCCTCCATGTCATCTACGGTGGCCTGCGCCTCTCGTCCTGCGAAGGCCACCACTACCGATGGTAAGGGGGTGGGGCGGTTGGAGCGGCGGAGCGGGCGGGGGGGGGTTTCGGATGACTCTGATTAACTCGTTTTGTTCTTCGGCGTCGGCGCTGCTGCCTTCGCCCGCTGCCGCCGCTGGCGGCCGCCTCCTGTACGCGAAGTTCAGCATGCTCGCGCCAGGCGCGCCCTGCTGTCTCCCGCGTGCCTGCCTCTTCTAGCCTAGGGTTGTTCGTTCCCGCGGACGACCTTCTGTCGGCGCCCACCACCACCTCCTCCCTCTCTCCTTCTCTCTCCCCATCCTCTCTCCCCGTCTCCGTGCTCCGCCGCTGCGGATACGGGACTGGGGGCCGCCGACGCCGGCAGCGACCTGTTTTCTGGCGCGCCGCGGCCGCTGCCGCCCCGCAGCCGCCCCCCGGGGGCTGCAGGCAGCGGCCCGCGCCAGAGCGGAGGCGGCCAGGCGCTCCCACCCCTCCAAGGTTCTGCGACAAGTCCAGGGAGCCTGCCATGCCACCCTGCTGGCTCTCACGAGCCGAGGCTGTCCGACGCGAAGCAGCGCCACTGGGCGCCGAATCGACGCCAGATCGGCAATCTCTCCTCGACTGCCAGACGCTGGCGCCCGCTGAGGCACTCTAACGGCGGAATTCCGAGGGCAGACACGGCTCCCATGATTTGCTACCGAACACTCCCCAAGTGACCACAAAAAACAGAAGGCCCTGCTCGCAGGGCGCGGCGAGGAGGCGGCGAAGAGGACCCAGACATCCGCCGATCTGATTGCTTCAAGGCGCGGCTCCAATGAGATCCCAACCCATTCCTTCGCTCAAAATCCTTGGCCCCAGCGCCCGAGGATGGCACCAGGAGGTCGAGTCGAAATCCCTGAAGCGGGCCTGGGCTGAAGAAACCATATCGCAGACCCCCAGCGTCCTGATATTTTCACAGCGTCCGTCCCCAGAGGTCTCGACCCGTTCCTCGGGACCCGTTTTTCATCTCCTGCCGGTTTCTGACGGTCCCAAGGCACGGTAAGGCCCCCAGGGACCGAGAATTGCGGACAACCTTCCATCGTATGGTTTCATCCAGGGGTGGACCTAAACGGTGTTTTGGCGATTTCGTGGGCCGTGTTCGTTTCGATGTCGCGGATTGAAGACAAAACGAGGGACAACGAAAACAAACCGAAAACGAAGAACACCGTTTAGGTTCAGCCCTGGTTTCATGGCTCGAGGGGGTCTGTGATCGTCGGAGCTCTGGGGAGGACGTGGCGTGCTCTGCTCGCTCAGCGCTCTCCGCCGACCGCCCCGAGCCTACAGAAAGGCCACCGCGGCGCCCCTGCACCGCCTGGGGGGGTCACACGTCCGGAGGGAACCGGCTCGGGGGGGGGAAGCAAGGACCTGCTCGGGGGGGGAAGCAAGGACCTGGAGGCGGCGATGCGTCGCCGATGGATCGGCGAGAGGTCCCCGACAGCAAAGCCACACGTTCCTGGGAGGGGCAGGCTATCGGGCCCATATCGGCGTTGCATGGGCGATCGGTGGTCGATGCAACCCCCATCCAGCCTATCCCTGTCCTGGTGACTTTCGGGTAGTACCTCGGCTCTCCAGCGGCCGTTCGAGACGATCTGGGCACCACTGGAACTTCTTGTTTTTGTTATTCAATCACCAGCCGATCCTCTCGTCAGCCAGTGCACCACGGCCATCAGGGCACCCCTGGAACGCTCTCGGCGAGGCGCGGCTGCTGGAGAGCATCCCGAGGCTGGGAGACCGCCTCGAACCCGCGAAAGAGTCAGAAAACCTCAGCCCCCGTGAACATGTCACTTCAAGGTTTCCCTGCTCGATTTGCAAGGTTCGAACCGTGGACCGAATCACTGAGCCAAAATCGTACAACAAAGAACTCAACGATACGTAAATAGCAATGCCCAGCGTTGACGAGTTCGGGGGTCGCCCAATTGGCGAGCAGGGAACCGCTGCTCTGAAGCATGCCCCCCCAATGGTGCCCCTGAGCCTCTACGCTGCCTGCGCCACGGCGGCCCGGTGTTCCTCCTGGCGCTCCTGCAGAAGGTCCCTCAGCCCGGGGTGCTCCTCGCTAGACCGCAGTACGTCGGCCAGGTCGTCGAGGTCGAGGCCCGCGCCGAGCGCCAGCGTGGAGCTGAGCGTCGCCTGGGCGCCGACGGCCTTGGCCTCAGAGGAGGGAACCGACGGCATCAGCAGAACCGTTCGGAGCTCCGGGCGGATCTCTTAGATCTGCGCTGGGCCCCTCCCTGGGCATAAGCACAGCCTTTCGAAGCTCCGCGCGGATTCGGTGGGTCTGCGCTGGACCCCCTCCTTAGCGCTGGACGCCCCTGGCGGCGGCTCCGCCCCTGGCGCGCTCCGTGCGTCAGGGAGTGGGGTCCAGCGCCGATCCAAGAAATCCGGGCGAATCTCCGAGAGATTATGCTTATGCAGTGTTGGTTTACTGCTGCTACCCCAGGGGCATCGAGATCCATGATCTCGGCGGCGAGCGACGGGAGGAAATGAGAAAGAGGAGGCCTTCTCAGAAGGCTAGGAAGTCCCCTGGCCTTCTAAAGAGTTTTCTCTAAGACTTCCCCGAAGACAGAGAAAACCTCTCAGAAGGCGCGAGGGCTTCTGAGAAGCCCCGCCGCTTTCTGAGAACGCCTCCTTCTTCTCACTTCCCCCCCCTCGCTGGCTGCCGAAAGATCTCGTATCGGACCACCTGAAAAGTCGATCGAGGAGTCCCGAAAGCGTCGATGAACATCGAGATCCCAGACAAAAGCCACACGATGCTCCGAAAGTTGCTGTGTCCTTCTCGGCTTCCTGTGCTGCGATGGCCTGCTGGTGCACGAGCAAGCCGCTGGCCGATAACCGCGACGCCAGGTACTGGGCCTCCTGCTGCGGGGAGCCGTGCCTGCAGTGGGAGACATCTCCTCCTCCTCCTCCTCCTCCTCCTCCTCGTCCTCCTCCTCCTCCTCCTCCTCGTCCTCCTCGGGGTTCGAGGCTGGAGGATCGATGCTCGAAGGCCCAAGCTGCCGGGCGCTTCTTGGGGCTGCCTGGGGCGCCCTCGGCCACGGCCGGATCCCCTCCGTGCGTTTTTGTTTGGGGGTCGTTGCGCGCTGTATCGGAGAGGTCCGGGAGGAGCGGAGGGGCGAGGGGGCGGAGGGAGAAGGGGGGGAGGTGGACGGAGGAGGGAGGAGGGAAGGAGGGAAGGAGGAGAGGAGGGAAGAGGGAGGAGGAGGAGCAGGAGGAGGAGGAGGCAAGGCAAGGCAAGGCAACTCTGGGGTGTTATCGCATGTGCCTACACACATGGAATTGGAAAAGAAACTCACACCTGAGTGGCATCAGTGATGCAGCTTCCCACAGCGGTCGGCGCTGCAGGCGGAATTCACTCGGGCCTCAACCCACCCTGAAACTGGGAAGTGCCAGTGAGGGGGGTGATGGCACCGCCATTTCCCGGCAATTAAACTCCGCTAGCATTCGACCTGGGACGTTTTTTTGCTGTTTGGAAAAATGCTGCTTCCGGACCTCGGGCACAAAAAAAATCCTCTCGGCTCCTGAGACACCCGTCGGAGAGTGAGAAGTCTCGAGCGGGAACAGAGGGAGGAAAAGCATCAGCAGTCGCAGAGCTCGAGGACGAGGGAGGAAGGGGGAAGAGCTCTCCGCGCTCAACTAGGGCCCTGAAGAGGGCCGAGGTCTTGAAAACGGCAGGCACAACTATGCATCTCTCCCTGGGCGCACTGGCCCCCGCAGGGGTAAGAGGAACTCGGGGGCCTTCGCCTCCCGTCAGTCAGGCAATCACAGACGCTGGAGCAGCAACTCTCATTCCAGTCCCACTCGACTGGCGGTCGCCACTGTGCTCGGGCTGCTCAGACCAGGTCCCCCTTCGACTGGTGTCCGAACTCAAGACTGCACTCACGCCACGAGCTGATCTAGCATCTTCGACGCGTGCCTCTCCAAAGCGCCACGGGGCGCTGGCCCGTGCTTCCTCTGACCCACTTTGCTGAAATACGCGGTCAGCGCCGACCCCAGCTCGCCGTAGCGGTGGTCCACGCCGAAAGTCAGGCGCAGCTTCTCCCCCTTCGCCTCCTGCTTGCGTGTCGTGCGTACACGACAGTGCCGAATTTGGTCGGCCAGCTCGATCACCTGCACCTTCAGCACCAACTCGCCCAAATACTTCTCCATGGTCTGTTTCACGCCGATGTCCGCCTGCGGGTCCGTGCCCACAGCCTTGATGAGGGCCGTCCACACGTGGACGAAAGGCGGCCCCAGCGTCTCAGTCTCGGTGCCCGCCTGCTTCCTCTTCTGGACCTCCTGGTGGTAGAGCACCCCCGCCTGCTTCGCCGCCGCCACCGCGACCTGCTCGGCCGCGACTAGGTAGGTGACGAGCACTACTCCACATACGTCTCGAAGTTCTGCCGCACTGGACAGGCTCAGCTTTGTGAGCGCGATGAAGAGGTTCCTTAGCACATCTCCACCTTTTGACTTTGCCTGCTCGGCCAGCTTTCGCTGCTTGTCTTCCTGGCCGCCGCCCGCGGCCGCCGAAGCGTTGATCGCCCAGCCTGGGGAAGCTTCCATGGCCGTGCCCACGCCTCGATCGAATCACTCTGAGAGGTCCAGGGAGATGCGCACGCAGAGGCAGCTGTAGTTGAGCAAAATGACCGCCGACGAAGTCACATAGAGGAGGAGGAGGAGGAGAAGGAAGAGGAGGAGGAGGAGGAGGAGGGACACGGGTTCGGCGGGCCCGCGTCGTGGACAGCCCCTCCCCCTCAGATAGACCCAGCTGACCTCAACAGCTCTCCCCCCCGAGTTGCGCCAGCTAGCCTCAAAGGCCCCCAGAATTGCCTCGGGCGTTCTCAACACCCTGGGCCCCAAGGGTGGGGTGTTGAAACCGCCATGGGCTACTCTTGGGGCCTGTTAGGTCCAGTTGGGACTGCTTGGGTGGCTTGTTGCTGCCAGCCAGAGTTACCTGGGGGAGATGCTGTCTGTGCGTAATCCAAAAGCCTTACCGACCTCGCCGTTATTGTAGGGGGGGCATCTGCATGCAATGCACAAGATTTGCCACAGTGTGAACACACCACCGACATGCGGAAACAGCACTTCGCATGAATCTACGTGGCGTGCTTCTACCAGACCTCCTCCAGGCTTGCGTTGTGGTCATTTTCCCCGAGTGCCCCGCTGCTGAGGCTGCTGCGGGGCGACCGTCTGTGAGCTCCAGGATCTTGCAGTACCGCGCGGCGACCTGACCGAATGGGACGAGGACGAGGAGGCGGTTGAAGGCAGATGGAGGGAGTAGCAGGAGGAGAGAGAAGGTGGAGGAGCTTGGTGCACCGCGCGGCGACCTGACTGAATGGGATCGCGTCCGAGTCCGCCTTGGGGGCCCGTTCCTCCGCCCTCTACCCTACCACCGGGACAACAAACAAAGATGAGTAATCCAGCTGTTTCTCCTCTTCCGATTCGTTCTCCGCCTCCTTCTCCTCCACATCCGCTTCATCCTCTTCCTCCTGGAGGAAAAACAGCAGGGATAACGGAGGATAAGGGATGACGAGCAGGGCGTCTGGCGTGCGCCCCTGCGTCCACGACTACCACATACATCTACACATAGTTCTATGTACACAGATGTAAGACGCATATGTGTGCGTGTTTGTAAACATGTGCCAGGAGTGCAACCATTCCCCAATTAGGTTTTTCAGGACAGGTCTAACGTATGTGTGAAGACCCTGTAGGTGCTGGGCCTTGCCAGCCAGCTCTCGGGATTGCTTGGTTATGTTTCCTTACAATCGCGTTCCTTGGGGTTGCTTAGTCCTGCTGCCTTACAATGTCGTTGATCCGGGATTCTCGATCTTGTTTCTGGCGTTCCAAGGGTTGGCTTGGATTGTTGTCTTGCATGGGCGCTCCTCGGGGTTGCTTGGTCTTATCCCCGTACAGTGGCCCTCTCCGAGATATGATGGTTTTGTGTTCTCTTACAATGGCGTTCCTCGGGGTTGCTTGACCTAGTTTCATTACTGCATTCCGAAGACTGCTTGGCCGTGTCTCCTTACTGCAATTCCTGGGTTGCTTCGTCTTGCTTCCAAGCAATCCCTTGCAACGCCAAGCAATGCCAAGCAACGCCAAATAATACAACGCAGCGCCAAACAAGGCCAAGCAATGCCAAGCAATGCCCAGAAATGCCAAAGAGACGCCAAGCAACGGCAAGCAACCATAATCAACGTCAAGAATGCCAAGCAACTCCAGCCACTGCCACGCAATGCAAAACAATGCCAAGCAAGCCAAGCAATTCAAAGCAACGCGGAAGAACGCGAAGCAAAGCTACGCAACGCCAAGCAACGGCGAACAATGTCGAGCAATTGCAAGTAATGCCAACCAACACAAACAAAAAACAAAGCAACGCCAAGCAATGCAACGCAACGCCAAGAAACGCAAAGCAACGCCAAGCAGTGCCAAGCAACGCCAAGCAACGCCAAGCAATGCCAGGTAACCCTCTTAGGCAATAGCGGTTATTTCCCTAATAAAGGTCGCGCGGGTTTCATATGTCTATGCGTGTACGTGTGTGTTTGCCAGCGTGGGCCCGAAGATGTGAGCTTTTGAACTCTGGGTGCGTGAGCTATGTGGTGCGCGCTACGTGGTGCGAGACATGCTCGCTGCAGGCAATGCGGTGCACCCTCTGTGTGGTGCACGCTATGCGTGCTGCAAGCTGTCTGGTGCGAGCCCTGTGGCGCACGCTGTGTGGAAACGCTGCGGGGCGCAAGGTGAGCGCGCACGCTCTGACGCGCAGGCAAAGTGGTGCACGCTATGCAGCGCGAGCAGTGTCGTGCGAGCAGCGCGCGGTGCCCACGAGGCGCCCACGAGGCGCCCACGGCCGTCGACCAGGCGACACCACGACACACCCTGGCAGCGAACGGGGCGCCCACAAGGCGCCCACGGCCGCCCACCTGACACGCGCCCCGCGCCGATCCAGAGACACGCGCGGGAAAGTCATCGAGGCGGCAACTTCCCCTGAGGCCATACTTTCTCGCGTGCGATTGCTCGACTGAACCTCGAGATTTAGAGCATCTGCGAAGCTCCCTGGTCTACCAAACGATCCGGCGCGATCGAAAGCATCAGTGCACAGCCTCGGTCGACCTGAGATCGGTCTACTACTCGGGCTATCTGTATCACGTGGACCTCCGAAAGTGTATATCTATTCGAAGTGCTTCGATTTGTGGCCGCCTTCCAAAGCTCGAACAACGCGGCCGCCAGGAAGCGGCGCCGCCGGACCGCGAGGCCGGCGACGTGCCGCACCGCGGGATTGGTGCGCAGGAGGTCGCGCTCCGCCTCGGGGGGGGGGAAGAGCAGCAGAAACCACCGTCTTCTCCCACCTGCCCCCCTGCTTTCCCCTTCCCCCGCGGCGGGGAGATGCCCAGGCAGAAACTCTCCCTCCTTCTCCGCCTCCTCGCCCTCGTCTCCCACTTGTCCCTCCTCTTCCTCCTCCTCCTCTTCCTCCTCGTCCTCCTCCTCGTCCTCGTCCTCCTCCCCCTCCTCCTCCTCCTCCTCCTCCTTCTTTCCCTCCTCTGTCGCGAGCGAGCAAAGCGATCAGCGGTCCGAATCCCTATGCATCACACTGAACCCGGATACCTTCCCTCTTCCTCCTCCTCCTCCTCCTCCACCTCCTCCTGGGGAGAGGAGGGGAACGAGGAGTCAGGAGACAACTTCTGGGAGGCCTTCGTAAGAACGACAGAAGACGATTCAATCACATGAAGGCGGGAGTGAGCCTGATTGAGCCTGGAATAAGGTGGGGTTGAACATGTTTGAGAGAACGCGTTTCACGGGCGCTTGCCTTGGGAACATTCGTCGGGGATGGACAGACCTCCCTTTAGTAAAACGTGGTTTAGTGAAAACGACCTGAGGCCCAAACCTGGCGGGCGCAAGCCTGGAAAATAACGGCCACGGCGCCCTCTCGAGAACCGAAAACGGACAATTCACTAATCGACGTGTCACTGTTGGGGGTTCTGTCCACCCCCGAATTCGGCGGCGCGTTTCGAACCCACCCCCTCCCCCTGGCGCCGGCGCCGGCGGCCGCCAGCAGCGCCGACGGCGGGGACGCAGCGACGATGACCAGAGGCAGCCCAAGGGGGGGAAGGGGGGGGGTCAACCCCCCCTCCCTTTGGCGCCGAAGGGGGGGTGGTTCAACCCCCCCCCCCTGGCGCCGGCGCCGGCGCTGGCGGCGGCCCGCAGCGCCGGCGCTGGCGCCGGCGACGGCGGGGACACAGCGACGATAACCACCACTACCACCACCACCACGACCACTACCAGCACCACCACCGCCTCAACCCACCACCACCACCACCAACCCACCACACAACCACCACCACCACCACAGCCACCACCACCACCACAACCACCACCACAACTCACCATCACCACCATCACCACCACAAAAACCCACCACCACTACCACCACCACCACAATCTACCACGCCAACACCACCACCGCCACAACCACCACCACTACCAGCAGCACAACCCACCACCACCACCACGAACCACCACACCACCACCACCGCCACCACCACCACACCACCAACACCACCTCCACAAACCACGCCACCACCCAACCCACCACCACCACCACCACCACAAACCACCACCAACACCACCCACCACAACCACCACCACCACCACCACCACACACCACCCCACACCACCACCACCACCACCACCACCACCACCACAACAAACCACAAAACCACCACCACCACAAACACCACCACCGCCACCACCACCATCGCCACCACCACCACAACCCACCACCACCACCACCACCACCACCACCACCACCGTCGTCCTCGTCGACGCTCCCCGCCGCCGCCGCCCGCCGCGGCAGGCGCCGGCGCCAGCCCAGAAAAAGGAACTCGTCGTCCCCGCCGCCGCCGCCGCCAGCCGAGGAGAGGGAGAGAGGAAAAGTAGGGGGGGAGTTGGGGGGGGGTTCGAACCCCCTCCCCCCTCCGTCACGGGAGGGGGGGGGGGGTTCGAGCCCCCCCTCCCTCCATCCAGGGGGAGGGGGGGGGTCGGGTTCCACCCCCTCCCCTCCAAGCGACCACAGAACGCGCTCTGTCACATGTTTCCGACCAAGGATATACCAGCACCGATGCTGAATCTGCCCTTCCAACAATTGCAACCAGAGAGGCTCACGCGTCGGAGCGCGAGTGTCGTCCTGGGCGCAGCGGTGGCCCGCACAAGCGTGCAGGATGGGGGAGCTCGGAGCTCGGCGGGGTGGCGGCGTCGACGAGGTCGACGAAGTCGTCAAAGTGCAAAAGGGCCACCACCACCAAATGGGCTACGGCAGGTTCGTGTCCTGCCGACTTCGGCGTTGGTTTCTGACACCGCGCGGGAATCGGTCAACCTTGAACGATCGGTCGTTTCCGAAACGTCAGATCCTTCAACATCGACCGATTCTGGGTCGCCGCCTGTCGACACGACGCGAACCTACCGTACCATTCGCTGGAGATCTCGCGTCGGCGAACGCGCCATGGTCTACGTCACTGTAGGGGCGGGTGGGCTCATCATCACCATCATCGGGCCCCTTCTCGTCGCGACGGCCGGCTCGCCTCGAACCCCCTCTTTGGCCCGCGTCTACGGTTGCCTTTGCCCTGGTCCCACCTGGGTGCCCTGGGAGTCTCGTTCCGTGAGGGAAAGCCGCCAGTGCTCGGGAGGACAACCCACCTGGACATTGGCAGGCGAGGTGGGCGACGCGCTCTCGAAGTTCGGGCCACTTCTGTAAGGGATTATCATCGTCGTCGTCATCATCATCAACAGCAGCATCCTCATTACCATCATCACAAAACATTATCTCTGGAATCATCATCATCTTCGCCATCAGCATCATCATCATCGTCATCATCGTCGTCATCATCAGCATCACCATCATCATAATCATCAGCATCATCACCATCATCACCACCACCACCATAATCACACTCATCACCACCACCCTCATCGTCATCGTCATCGTGATCATCATCGTTATCGTCATCCTCGTTATCGTCATCGTCGTTATCATCAACATCAGCATCATCATCAGCAGCATCATCATCATAAACATCATCATCATCATCAGCATCAGCATCATCAGCATTATCATCACAATCCTCAACACCATCACCATCATCATCATCGTGTTCAGCATCATCAGCATCATCAATATCACCACCACTTCCATCATCATCATCATCATCATCATCATCATCATCATCATCATCATCATCATCATCGTCAGCATCATCAGCATCATCAACAGCATCAGCATCATCGTCGTCATTATCATCATCAGCAGCATCATCAGCAACAGCATCACCTTTATCAGCATCATCGTCACCATCAGCATCCAGATCGTCATCATCATCAGCATCATCAGCATCATCCTCCTCACCATCATCATCATTATAATCGGCATCGTCATCGTCATCATCATCATCAGCAGCATCACCATCATAGTCGTCGTCATCGTCGTCGTCATCGTCATCGCCATCGTCGTCATCATCGTCATCGGCATCGCCATCATCAGCATTAACATCAGCATTACCATCATCATCATTCTCATCATCACCGTCATTGGCATCGTCATCATCATCAGTATCATCATCGCCATTGTCATCATAATCATGAATCATTAGTATCCTCCTCATCATCACCATCATCAGCATCATCATCGTCATCACCATCACCACCATCATCAGCATCATCATCACCATCATCAGCATCATCATCATCAGCATCAGCATCAGCATCAGCATCATCATCATCATCATCATCATCATCATCATCATCATCATCATCATCATCATCATCATCATCATCGTCATCGTCATCGTCATCGTCATCGTCATCGTCATCGTCGACGTACGTCTCCGTATGAATCTGGCGTAACTGCAAGAGCAGCGGGAGATACGCACAGCCGAAGCGCAGCCACCCAGCGTCTCGACAGAGGACTCCTTGAGAGTGCCCAGCCTGGCGGGCCGCGACCTGGGCCGACGACACGGCGCCGACCCTGGACGCCGACCGGGGTCGACAGAGGGGGGCCCGCGAGGTCCGCCTCGCACCGCCCGGGCTTGAGAGACGCCGCACGGAGCTCCTTCAGCACCAGAGCAAGCGCCGCGGCCTCGAGGAGAGCACAGTCATCATGCTGCCACGCGGGCTGCTGAACGATGGACCGACGTCGCTTTCCCCCCGGCCACGCCGACCCTCGGACACGAGCAGGCTCCCCGGCAAACGCAGCGGCCCCGGCGACACGCCACGCCGTGCGAGCTGATGGCGTGCCGATCCGCTCCGCGGGGCGGGAGAGGGCGGGAGAGGGCTCGACATGGACGCCTGGGGGCCCAGGAGCGGAGGGCGCGTCGCGCCGAGAAGTGATGGACCAGATCGCCAGATCCGGCGGAGCGACACGCTCAGCCAAAGCACCTGACCGTAGACCCGAAGGAGCGGCGCGAAAACGAGAGCCCCTCCTGGTCGCAAAGGGGGTCCTTATCTCTTATCTCAGCGTCCTGGCGGTAGCGTCGGCAGACTTCTGCAGGCCTGGGAAGAGGCCCTCGCTGATCAGGGCCGGCTCATTCCACAGGCCGTCGACCTCCGCCTTTTGAAGCGAGCTGTGAGCCCAGCGGGGACACCTGCCGCCTGCTCTGCCGCCCTAAGCTGCCGTCCGGCGGCGCTCCAGGGATATATCCATATCCACCGCGTGGGGAACCGATGTCATGGGACCCTACGTCGCTGTGAGTACGGATAGATTTGCCCGCCCTGGGGCCGAGTATAAATACATCCAGATCCACCGCACTCCGAGGTCCCCGAAGATCAAATCCCTCTGGCGGTGGTTATGGACAAACTACTGCCTCGGAATGGTGGCCTCCGGATCCGTCTTGCAGCTGCCTGTGATGCCTTGACCGCTGCCATCGCAGGGCCAACAAACGCCGGCTGCGTATTCGCAATACTTTCGGCGACCATCCTATCCCGTATCCTACAGGCTGCTGCGCAGGTCGCGAAACATCCGCTTTGCTGTGCTGCTCCAAAATGATTTAAAATCGAAGCGCTCGCCACCCCATTCCATCACCACACGACAAGCAATCCATGCCAGGGCCAAAACGACAACGACCGCCCGCACGCTCTGCAGCATCGGGGCGAGGGGCGACGACAGCGGCAACCTCGGCCTTGTACCTCCGCCGCCTGCCCCTGCAGGGCGCCCTCGCGTCAGGCACGTCGCCAGGACCCAAGCGAACGAGAACGAGACATAGCTGCCCAGGCCCCGCATGCTAGAATGCTCGCTCGCGACCGAGTGGTACAGCCAAGTGCGCCGCTCGGATCGTAGACCTCCCTTTTGCCGCACGGGCCACGTGCAGCCTTGAGACAATGTTTTGAGGGAGGAGATGGAGAGCCACCGCGAAGCTCCAACGGTGCTGCCACAACCCCTGCGCTGCCTGGGCGGACAAAGTCTGCGCCCGCGAAAAAAGACAGCCGCTAAAAGAGGACCTGCCTGTGGCAATGATTGCCCGGGCGAGCGGTTGGAGTCTCGAACCATAGCGGCTTGGGCCTCCACGGGATCAAGAGGCCGCCCCAGTTCCCTCACGCTCGCGGCTCCGGCACGGCAACCCCTGGGCCAACAGGAGAATTCGCACATCCCGTTGTTCCCGGGGGTCGGCGCTAAGGGTAATCTCAACGATACTCGGGGGGCGCAGGCGTGTGGCAGCTCGCAAATTCGCGCTCGCGATACAGCCATTGGGCCATGCAAGTGGACATGACTACTGGCGTGAACGTGGACGTCTGACATGTTTTCACGAAGCCTTCCAACGGCTACGGCGGATGAAGAGAAGGGATGAGAGGTGGGAAGGCGGAGAGGGTGCAGAAAGGGGGAGGAGGAGGAGGAGTGGAGCGGGGGTGGGGAGGATGGTCGAAGAAAGGCTCACCCCTACCCCCCTCCCCTGCCTCCCCCTATCTCCCCTCCAGTGATCACATCGCCGAAGCCCAAAGAGGCTCGGATGACCCACCTGTCAACGCCCCTTCCTGGGAGGAGGGAAGGGGCATCGTGCACTGGAAGACCTTCTTTGGAGGGATAAGGAAAAGATGGCCATGACCAAGACTGCACGCAGAAACGCCGGTGCCAATCTTGATCATCGCCTCATCCTGGTGATTGTCACATCGTCAGCGTCAGTATCGACACGACCGTCGGGCTTCGTCCCCCGATCCTTGGCGAGAGGAGACAGGAGGGAAGAGGAAGGCCACACCGCGCCTCCTGCAGGTGCGCCAGCGTCACCGGCCCGGTGGCGCGCCCGCCCGCTGCCCCGAGCCGCACCTCTGGGCAGCTGGCAGGAAGGGCCGACGCCGCCGACGGCGACGACGATCCCTCTTCCCCCGACGACGACGCCGACGACGACAACTCCCCAGCCGCCGACATTGACGACCACCGCGATGCCGACGACAGCGACCACACACTACGACAGCGCCGACGCCGCCAACCCCACCCACCCCCCAACAAGAACACGGAGCTCATCGAGAGCAAGATCTTGGGCCGCTCCTGAAGCGTTGGCAGAATCTCGCAATTGCGTCTAGGGCAGGAGCGCATTTTGGATTTCGCGGCCTCGACGGGCGCTATGGCGTGGGAGGGGGGCTTGGGTCGGGAGGGGGCATAACAGACTGTGGGTTTCTCAATAAACGTGGGGGGGGGTACTCCCCGACGGGGGTCAACCTCGCCTCGTCGTCGCGCCGCGGCGGGGGTCGGAGCGCCTTCGGCGTGCGGTGGCTACCCGCGACGGGGGTCGATGTGGGGCTGTCGGCGGGGGTACACTTATCAAGAAATTCGGAGTAGCGAGTAGCGCCCCCCCATGCTGTGGTGCTGGACGCACTGCGGCAATGCTGGTACTGTCGTGCCCGTCGCACTGCGGCAGTGCCGGGCCGGGGACGCACTGGGGGGGGAGCGCTACGTTTTGGGGGGGGAGGGGCGGGGAGGGGGGGAAAGGTAGGGGGGCATAACGCGCGTTATGGCCCAGAGGGTAAAGAAACACACTCTCCAGCTGCTGTGCGGCGCCGCCGAGTCAGCGCTGACCCGGGCTGGCCACGGGGCCATGCCGCGAAAACCGCGGCTGGCCGCACGGCAGCCCGCAAACACTCCCGGACGGACGGCTTCGCAGGGTCCCCCAGAGCTGGGGGGGGCCGGCCCCTGTTTCAGAAGGAAGCGAAGAAGGCATAAACCATAAACATAAGCTTTTTGGGGGTCCTCGCGGGCTTCTCGGATCTACCCGAAAACCAGCAGCAGCCGCTGCTGGGAAGGCGACCCTCTCTCTGATATCGCCCGCGGCACCGCCGGCAACGAATCCTGTTCAAAATGGTCTGGAACTTTGAGCTGGAACCGACCATCCTGGAATTTTGATAGGCCTACCTCGGGATGCTCTTAGAACAAACGAATGCCAACATAAAATAAGCAACGTTCTTCGAGCATAAAGCCGACTGCCCTTGAAAAAGACAGCCTCACCTGGACATGTTCTACGAACCTTTCGTGCAAACCACAGAGATCCTTATAATTGTTTTGGGGGCCTATAGACACGCCTGGACGCGTCGCCACTGCCTGAGAACTGCTGCCAACCGTCGCCCCCAATCTTTCCGTGGCCCTGGGCCCCCCTGCCGGCGACTCCCCCCGGGCCCAGCCTCCCGAGCGGCCCCACGACGCTCGAGAGGGCCCCGGCAGCGCCCCGAGGAGGCCGACAACGGCGGAAAACCTCGGGACGACTCAGGGCCCCCTCTCCCTCCGGACGACCCCCGTGCCACTCCCAGAACTACGACGTGGTGTTTCTGCTTGTTTGCGGTGTGGGCCCCCAGACTTCTGGACCCCTTCCCCCGGGACTGGCTTTTCACCCCGAGTAGCTGTTTTTGACTGTCCCGGCGCCCTGGCGGCGCCCCCACGGAGACCGAAAACTGTTAACAAAAATCCGTCGTGGTTATTTCACAATGAGAGAGGAGTTGAGGGCTGAAGACCCCTTTGTAGCTCACGACGAGCTTTCGGCGCCCCATGTCACGTAGCGTAGGTCTGGCGTGATTCGGTCGCAAAAACGTCGACCAACCACGTGTCGGACAAACACGCAGCGCGCTCAACCTGGCCGTTCTGAACGACCGAGGTGCGTGTTGCTTTTCAGCACGGGTGTATCATGGCAGCTAGGCTTAGAACCCCTTTCTGGTCGGACGAAAGGGGGATTAGAAAAGGAGGTTCGCGAATCAACGTGCGAGGCTGGTCTTCCGGGCTCCGGAGGCGCCAACCTACCCAGCAAGGCGCCCGGCGGCGAACCCAAACTCAGCGGCATGCGTCACGCATAAGATTTCTTACCCCCTCCGAATCCTACCCTGAGATACGACGTTGCGAACAAGAATAGCATCTCGAAACATCA